CCTGAGACAGGGTTTCTCTATGTTGGTCAGGCTGGTCTCGAACTCCTGACCTCAGGTGATAGGCCCACCTCGGCCTCCCAAAGTGCTGGGATTACAGACGTGAGCCACCGCGCCTGGCCTACTTCTGTTCTTTTACTGTGTGGCTTCTACTGTGCAGTTTATGGTAGATCAACTGGCAGGTATGTTCTCTGGTGGAGTCTTCCTGCTGGGTTGCTCTTGCCTCTATAGTTTTCCTCCGGCCCCTAGATTTTTCCTTGAGCCTTTGGGGCTGTGACATTTTGCTCCTGCACAATCTGAAGAATGAGCCCCAGGAGAGTCTTTTTTGGGGAACAGCAGGAGATTTGAGGCCTGTATTGGGGAAAGACTGGGTGAGGCCAGGGTTGGGTTGGGGCAGAGACCGAGGGCCATTTAGACCCCTGTCTGTCCCTTTCTGTCCTGGTTGTTTTTCAGGGGAAATTTCAATCCTGAGATGATAAAGCTAATTTAGTCCAACTCCTCATTTTACAGATGGGAAACCCGAAGCTTAGGGAGGGGAAGTGACTGTCTTAGAGCAGCACTTGAGCTGGAGTTTTATCTTGGGCCTCATTATATGTCCAGTGCCTTTTTTTCTTTTGTTTTTGAGACGGAGTCTTGCTCTGTCACCAGGCTGGCGTGCAGTGGCACAATCTCAGCTCACTGTAACCTCCGCCTCCTGGGTTCAAGCGATTCTCCTGCCTCAACCTCCTTAGTAGCTGGGACTACAGGCATGCGCCCCCATGCCCAGCTAATTTTTGTATTTTTGGTAGATACGGGGTTTCACCATGTTGGCCAGGATGGTCTCAATCTCTTGACTTTGTGATCCGCCCACCTCGGCTTCCCAAAGTGCTGGGATTACAGGAGTGAACCACCGTGCCTGGCCTTTTTAACCAAACAGTGCACTGTGTGCATTTCTAGACAAGTCCTGGACCTCCCTGCAGGCCGGAAAAGGGGGCCTCCGGGATTGTCTGATGTGAAGGGGAAGTTTCAGTCTTGGGTTCAGTGCTTTGAATGGGGCCTTGTGGTGGGAGTTTGCTTGGAGTTGTTTCCTGAGGCTATCTGTCTGCACCGGTGGTGATATCACTTAGTGTATAGCAGGGGTGTCCAATCTTTTGGCTTCCCTGGGTCACACTGGAAGAAGAATTGTCTTGAGTCACACATAAAATACACTAACACTAACAATAGCTGATGAGCTAAATAAAAATGACAAAGAAATCTCATAATGTTATAAGAAAGTGTATGAATTTGTGTTGGGCCACATTCAGAGCTGTCCTGGGTTGCATGAGGCCCGTGGGCCGTGAGCTGGACAAGCTTGGTGGATATGTGTTTCATTCAGATCTTGTTTTGTTGAGTCCCAGTGGCAGGAGGATATCAGGGGGTCACCTCACCAGGGCCAGGAGAGCTTCCGTGGGCTGGGCCTGCTGCCTTCCTGACCTCACTGCCTCCACCTGCCCACTCAGCTCCACTGGCCTCCTTCAGGCTCAGGCATGCTCCTGCCCCAGGGCCTTTGCACAGCTCTGCTGTCTGTGGTATGCTCTTGTAATTGATTGACAGATTGAGACAGAGTCTTGCTGCGACACCCAGGCTGCAGTGCGGTGGTGTGATCTCAGCTCACTGCAATCTCCACCTCCCGGGTTCAAGAGATTCTCTTGCCTCAGCCTCCTGAGTAGCTGGGATTACAAGCACGTGCCATCATGCCCGGCTAATATTTGTATATTTAGTAGAGACGGGGTTTCGCCATTTGGGGTGGTCTTGATCTCTTGATCTTGTGATTCACCCGCCTTGGCCTCCCAAAGTGCTGGGATTACAGGCATGAGCCACTGCGCCCAGCCTTGTTTTTTAAATTAATTAATTTTAAATTAATATTTTCATTATAAAAAGTTTCAAACACACACAAAAATAGATAAAATAGTATTAATTCTTTCATATCACTTAGTAGTTAGTCCACATTAATATTTCCCTAAGTACCTCAGAGTATCTTCTTACAATATTCAGAAGTAGATATAAGCGCGGTTCTAGGATGGTTTTGGGCAGAGAACTAGTGTGGTCTGACTTATATGTTGCAGGTAGAGTGTCCATGGGCAGAGGTGGCAGTGGGGACGCCAGTGAAGAGGCCACTGCAATAGTTGAGGCTGTATAGGATGGTGGTCTGGAGCTGGGCTGTGTTATAGGATGAAGGGATTGGGGATGTATTTTTGGGGTAGGGTAGAGAATATATTTACACAAACACAGAGACACATGCTCCCTTCCTTCAGCCTGGGTGATAGCGCTCTTAAGACCCTGTCTTCAGAAAAGACAAAAGACTCCATTTGGGCCAGACACGGTGGCTCACGCCTGTAATCCTAGCACTTAGGGAGGCCAAGGCAGGAGGATCCCTTGAGGCCAGGAGTTCAAGACCGGCCTGGGCAACACAGCAAGATCCCATCTATACAAAAAATTGAAAAATTAGCTGAGAGTGGTGGCACACCCATGCATTCTTGGCTGCATGCAGTGCAATGTACAGGCCAGCAGGTGGCACCATTGACCACTTGCTGGTCTCCCGTTTTGGCAATGCCATCTTAGGGCACAGCCTCTGCGGGTGGGGCCTGGCATTGGCACCCCAACCTCTGCCTATGGAGTCAGCCTCAGCCTCCAAGGCAGCGTGGACCTGAGGGTCTGGCTTCCCTGCAACCAGCCTCACCCGAGTTCTCAGATGGTTTGAGCCAGGAGCAAATCTGATGGAGCGGGTGTGGTGGCAGGAGCTGGTGCTGAGTGTGTAGACTGACCCCTGAAGTCTCCCCCACTGTCCCCTCTTCCTTCACTTCTGCCACCACCACCTAGTTGAAGCCACTGTCATATCCCACCTGAACTGCTTGCCGTGGCCCTCTTAGCAGCCTCGCCGCGTCCCCTCAGGCCACGTTCCCTGACCCGCAGCCATCCACAGATCTGATCCAACCAGGGCCCTGTATGGAGCCTTCAGCAGCTCCTGGCCAGGGCTGTGGATCCGGCCCTGCCCGCCTCTCCCATGTCCTCTCATGCCCTCTCCTCCTGGCCCACCTGGTGCCCACCACACCAGCCTTGCACAGGCTGCTCCCTCCAACTGAAGCCTCACCCCTCCCCTGGGCTCCCCGGGGCCGACTCCTTCTCACCCTTCAGATCTCCGCAGCCCTGGACCCTACTCAGAGAGGCCGGCAGAAGTGAGCCTCCTTCTGTTTTCCTCCATCAAAGCCATGTGCTTATGTCCCTTGCAGGACTTGCCATGATTTGTAAATGTCCGTCTCCCTTTGGTGTGTCCACTTACTCCTGCTGTTTCCCTCTAGAAGGAAAACCCCCTATGGCAGAAGCCTCATGTCTGTGCCCCTGGTAATCCTGGCGGGAGTAGGAGCCAGGAAATCTTTGTTGATGAATATGTGAATCGGCCTGAAATAATTTCTACTAACATTCTGGTGACCATTCTTCCAGAACATTTTTCGGCAGCACATTTACTTGTGGAGGGAGGAATATCTTGTTTGGCAATAAATGAAATGTGTGTACTGCCATCTGTTCTCTTTGAAGCTTTGATTTTTAGAGGAATCCTTGTGGCTCTGGAGAGATGATTTAAAGGGGAGCAAGGCTGGAGATGAAGGAACTGGCTGGGAGGCTGATACGGCAAAGTCAGGGGCCTGGGATAGCAGCGGTCATGGGAGCGGAGGGAAATGGGTAAGGAGGACTTGGGGCCAGGCTGGATAATGGGAGCCATGATGTCCAGGTTGATGCCCAGGCACCTGGCTTAGGTCCCCCGGGTGTGGTGGAGGAGCCGGGTGAGGGGTCAGTTCAGTGGAAGGCATGCTGTGTCAGGGGGCCGGGGGCCCTATTACAGATGCCTTTGAATGGAGTTTTTGGGTTTTTTTTTTTTTTTCCTGTGGCAGGGTCTTGTTTTGTCACCCAGGCTGGAGCTCACTGTAACCTCAAACTCCCAGGCTCAAGCGATCCTCCTGCCTCACCTTCATAAGTAGCTGGGACTGCAGGTGTACCATCATGCCTAGCTAATTTTTAATTTTTTTGTATAGATGGGATCTGGCTGTGTTGCCCAGGCTGGTCTTGAACTCTTGACCTCAAGGGATCTTCCTGCCTCGGCCTGCCAAAGTGCTGGGATTACAGGCATGAGCCACCGTGTCTGGCCTGAATGGAATCTTTTTGTGTTTTTCGTGGACAGGTTCTTGCCCTGTCCCCCAGGCTGGAGTGCAGTGGCATGATCACAGTTTACTGCAGCCTCAACCTCCTGGGTTCTAGCAATCCTCCCACCTCAGCCTTGCAAGTATTTGGGACTACAGGTGCATGCCACCAAGCCCAGCTAATTTATTTTTTGTAGAGGCGTGTGCTTACTATGTTGCTCAGGCTGGTCTTGAACTCCTGGGCTCAAGCAGTTCTCCTCCCTCGGCCTCCTAAAGTGCTGGAATTACAGGTGTGAGCCACCACACCTGAATAGAGTTTTGTTTTGTTTTGTTTTTTGTTTTGTTTTTGGTTTTTTTTGCGGGGTGGGGGCAGGGGGTACTGAGTCTTTTTCTCTGTCGCCCAGGCTGGAGTGCAGTGGTGCAATCTTGGCTCACTGCAATCTCCACCTCCCAGGTCCAAGCGATTCTCCTGCCTCAGCCTCCCGAGTAGCTGGGATTACAGGCACATACCAGCATGCCTGGCTAATTTTTGTATTTTTAGTAGAGATGAGGTTTTACCATGTTGGCCAGGCTGGTCTGGAACTTCTGACCTCAGGTGATCTGGCCGCCTTGGCCTCCCAAAGTGCTGGGATTATAGGTGTGAGCCACTGTGCCTGGCCAGAATGGGGTTTTGAAGAGTGTAGTAGAAGGAGGGGGCAGGGCAGGATGTTGTGGATGAGAGGCATGGGCATGGGCGTAGGCACAGAGCATCTGGGGCTCTCAGGCCTGTGAGGGCTGCGGGGCCCTGGGCTTCCTGGAACTCCTGTCTGGGCCTCTCTGGCCCTCTGAGCCTCACCTGGCCCTGATGAGCCTCTCCTCTCCTGGATCACTGCTTACTGAACTTCCTGTCACCTCCTGCCGTGTCCACCCTAGGTCTGAATCCTGACCCCTGTGTGGGTGGAGTAATATTTTTTCTTCACCCATTGCAAGATTTATGGCTGAGACCCTGATAACAAAAGGCAGATGAACAAGAGAAAAGGATGCACATTTAAGTTTCATGTGACATGGGAGCCTTCCGGGAAAAAAACAAAGAGACAGGGACGCCTGTGTATTTTTATGCGAAGTTTGGTGAAGAATGGACAGTCATGCAGGATGATTGGACTAGTACCATCTGATGGCAGTAAACTCTTTGTCCAGATCCCTCTCTGTGTCCCTGTGTCTTCAGAAATAAGGACATTCTGGCTGGGTTCAGTGGCTCGTGCCTGTAATCCCAGCACTTTGGGAGGCCATGGTGGGCGGCTCACCTGAGATCAGGAGTTCCAGACCCGCCTGGCCAACATGGTGAAAGCCCATCTCTACTAAAAATACAAAAATTAGCCAGGCGTGCTGGCAGATACCTGTAATCCCAGCCACTCGGGAGGCTGAGGCAGGAGAATCACTCGAACCTGGGAGGCAGAGGTTGCAGTGAGCCGAGATTGCACCACTGCACTCCAGCCTGGGCGACAGAATGAGACTCTGTCTCAAAAAAAAAAAAAAAAAGGGACATTCCTTTCCCCCAGGTATAGGTATAGAGTGGGCACCAGTGGAATCAGTGTTCTATGGCCTGCTTCAGGGAGAAGGCTAGGGGAAGGCAAGTGTGGCCCTCCCCGGCTTTTTTCTTGATTTGTATCATGGATGGGAAGATGCCTGTCCCAGTACAGTTGATGTAAAAATCAAACTTGCCCTTGGCATGATGCCAGATGCTTCACAAATGTCAGGAGTAGCTCCTGCCTGGGAGCTGTCTATACCTGGAAAGTGGCATCTGCCCTGTGGGCTGTTGGTTTGGGATCGGGACCAGGCTGCTGCTTTTCCTGTGGTGCTGAGCCTTGACTTGGCGGCAGAGGGAATGCTGGGTGGTCTCTGGGGCTGCTCCTCTCCTGGAATGGAGAGGTAGTGACTCCTCCCTAGACCTCCTGGGAGGCTCTGCCTCCAGCTCCTCCCACCTCAGGCTCAGTCTCAGAGGCTCTCTTAGGGCTACTGCTCCCGGCCCTGCAGCCCTCACTCCTTTGATATTGTAGGTTGTCAGTGCTGCATGTAAGGAAAGGGATTCTTTGCTTTGATTACTGCCCAGAGAGGAACTTCCTGGGTAAGTCATCTTCATGTCACCCAGAAGCTGCTGGAGGGAGGGCTGCTGGGGATGGGGGGACCACCAGAGCTCAGGAGAGGGCTGCGCAGCTTCTGGTCCTGCTGCTCTTGTCCCCACTTCTGGGCACCACCTTCACCAGTGGGTGAAGGTCCCCAGTGGAGGCCCCTGGGATTGACACCCACGTCTTGACCCCAGTGACTGGTGGCTACGATGCCTTCATCCGCCTGTGGAACCCCTTTGTCTCAAAGAGGCCCGTGTGGCTGATGAAGGGACACCAGACCTCAGTGACACACATCCTCGTGGACAGCAGGAACAGCAGCATCCTCATCAGTGTCTCCAAGGACAAGGTCCGCCCCGACAGTCCGCCCGACTCCTTCTGTTCCTCAGGGAAACACATTAGCCAGAGGAATGGCATGACCTCCCTGCCCACGGCCCCACATCTGGCCAAAGGCCTAGGAGGGGGCCTCAGGTGGAAGGAAGACGAGGGTGGCCATGAGCCTCTGAGCATGTCCCCAGAGCTGGGTTCCCAGGTAGCCCAGCCTGGCTTCTTACTTTGTGACCCTGGCAAGTCTTTCCCTTTTCTGAGCCTCAGTCTCCCCATCCATAGAATGGGCTGTTGAGTAGTTTAGAGAACCAGCAGCAAAACAGCAGTGCAGCATTCGGCGCAGGTGAGTTGTGCAATGCATGGCAGCCGTTCGCCTGTGCTGCCCTGCCCTCGATCTTCACCTCTCAGCTGCTCTAGTGACCCCTCCTCAGCTGCCTGGTCATCAGGGCCGGGCTTGGCCTTTCCCACATGCCAGGGCTCCCACTCGGGACCTGCCACTGTGCTCCTCTGCAGCTGTAGGCTCAGGATACTGCCCAGTCTGCTGGGCTGTGGTCCTGCAGTGCTTGGGGCCCTCCTTTAGGGGACAGGTTATGTTTTCTGGGACTCTGGAGATGAATTGTCAGGGCCCTCAGGGTCACCCAGACCACCCTCTCCAACATATCCACATACCCTCCTGTCTGGAATTTTCCCAGAAGCCCTGGGAGCTGGGATCATCGCCTCTGATGAAGGGTCTGGGTCTGGGGGCATGGGGACAGGGACGGGCTCCCTGAGGTCCCCAGTCAGCCACGGGCAGAGGATGCCTCCAAGAAGTGAGGGTCTTTGGAAGGACTTCCGTGGGGCCCTCTAGGGAAGGTTCCTTCACCTGGGAGGAATGGGAGGGGCTCCTCTGGGGACAGGCAGGTCACTGTGGCAACTATGTTGGTAGCCACTGTCGGACTGTGTCCCAGGCTGGAGTGGCAGCAAGGGAGGGCCTGGGGCCAGCATGTGCTGCCTGGCTTGGCTTTTGTGCCCAGCCAGTGAATTCAGCTGCTCCAGCAGGGTGGAGGCCCGGGGGCAGGCTGGGGGGTGGAGCTGTGCCCGGCCCTCACTCACTGTGTGCTTGGGTTATCTGAGCACAAGAGTAGCCTCTCTGCTGCTGGGTGTGATGGTGCCAACACCATGTGTGTGTGTTGGAAGTGCTTGGACGGACGATGTGCCCTGGGCTTGTCCGCCGGAGGCACCCCCAAGGCTTCAGGAGCCAGCTACATCCCCGAGCACCCATGCTCAGCCTCTTGCCTATTTCCCATCCCCCAGAATATTCGCGTGTGGGACATGCTGGACTACATATGCCTCCAGTCCTTCTGCGGGAAGTTTTTTGCCCTGGGAAACTGCCCCATCACCAGTGCCTACTTCTTCGAGAAGGACAACACCCTCATCTGCAGCACCTACTCAGTGAGTGCCGTCCCAGGAGGCAGTGGGGTCGAGGCCGCAGGTAGAGGGCCAGGCTCTGAATCCCACGGGACACCCAAGGGGTGGCCGCGTCCTGTCCCTCCTGGGACTGCTGAAGTGGCTGGACTCTGTGGCCTGGCCTGTGAGGGGCCGTGTCTTGGGATTTCCTGAAATCCTGTTTCTAGGCCCCCAGCCTGTCACTGTCTCTGCAGCTGCTGCTGCTGTCTGCTCTGTCCCCACTCAGCTTCTTCCTCTGGGAGCCACCCTGAACCTCAGGCCTGTTAGGAGCCCTTCTTCCATGTTTTCTTGGCCCCGTTCCTTCTCTCAGTCACGAGCCTCATAACTCTGTCCTGTCACTATTACGTGACTGTTTTTCCTGCTAAGTCATGAACTCTGGGAAACAGGGGCCGCATCTGAGCAGCGTCTCTGCAGGAGAGACCCTGGGGGAAACTGAGTCACAGAGAGGAAGGCCATCTGTGACTCAGGACTCAGCTGGAACCCCTGCGAGGTCTGTACTGACCCTGGAGGACAGGAAAGATTGGGACAAGCACGAGGGGCTTCCTGTGGAGGATGGGGGTAAGGGCGCCCACAATAAGATGGAGGCTTGGGGAGCTGCAAGGCTGAGCCACAGCCCATAAATGGGAGCAGAAGTCCAGAAAGGAGACGTGGGGGCCACGGTGCTTGAGCTCCACGAAGGCCTCCCATGCTCTGTGGGCTGAACCACCCTGGCTGGTGACACATTTGTCATCCTTATGCACTTGGCTAGCTCTCCCGTAGACGGCAGTTTTCTTGAGAAGGAAGGTCATGGGTTCCTTTATCTCCTTGCTGAGTGCCAGACAGGTGGTCAGCATTTGTTGAATTAAATAGGCCTTTGAAGTTCATTTCAGATCACCAAACCTTATCAACCCCCTGCCTTTTGTCGTGAACTGAGAATATATGACAAAGATACTGTCCCATCTCTCTAGGAACCCACAGGGTAGAAGAAAAACAGATAATTTCAGTAGAAAGTGCTGTGTGTTATGGTAGAGTTGTGTGCTAAGTGCTTTCTGGAACACAGAGGAATCCTTAGCAACGGGGAGGCAGGGAGGGCTTCCCGGAGGGAACATCTGATCGAGGCTTCAGCTTCTCAGAAGTTAAAAGGTGAAAGGGACCTTGGACTTGGAATTTGGGGTTCTAGGAACACTAGGGTTTGGGAGGCTCAGTCCCGGGGAGCGGGAGCCACGGAGTAGGGTGGGGGTATCTGCAGGCCTGCTGAGGAACCTGGAGTCTGCTGGAATCAGGCCTGCGTGTGGTCAGGATGTCTTGATGTTGTGATTTATTGGAAGTTTTTCCCGGCGGCCCATCATTGTGAGCAGGGCCCTTCTGACAGACGAGCTCTCTGCCCTTTCCTCACCTACAGATTGGGATCCTAAAAGGGTACTTAGAGGCCCAGGGGCCTATCAAAGCAAGGAAGAGGACCACTCACTGCTCACCCCTGTGTGCTGTCCTCTACAGCAAGATCTTTAAGCAGGTGAGTGGCCCAGGGCTCGCCTCTGAGGCTGGTAGGAACACCAGGTGACACAGGAGAGGACCAGACCTCCCTGTGTGCCTGGGTCTGTAGTCAGCTCCCATGGCACACTGGGAACTCTTACAGCCTTGATGGTGGTGCTGGGGCGGTGGGATAGACACAGAAAGCAGCTCTGCAGATGGGCTGGCGTGGGATCAGCTCGGAGCTCCATCCATTAGCCATGGGCTCGCCTAACTCTCCTGAGCCTCATGCCCTTGGCTGAGCGCCTTGGGTCGGCTCTGAACTGGGCCTTCTTTCCATGGAGTGTGAGACGGAGGGCTAGTTGTGGGGCGCTTTCCTAGGTTCCCAGAGTGGGTGCTGTTCTTGGGCATCTCTTTCCAGGGAAGCCATAACTTGGCTTTGTTCATTGTAGGAAGGGAGGGAGGCCCAGGCGCAGGCAGCACCTTGGTCCTGCGTGGAGTCTCTGGGTTGGACAGGGCAGCTGGGCGTGAGGAGTTGCTTCTGAGGTGTGAGGACAGGAGGGGCTGCTGCCTGAGGCCCTCTGCTCACTCCCACCCACTGGGGCCTCTTGTCTGGCCCAGGCTCTGGACAGGGGCGCTGCATTGGGTGTACAAGCTTGGAGCCCCCCATTCTGGGCTTCTCTCCCATCCTGGCTCCTGCCACCACCATCTCTCACTGCCTTAGGACTTAGGCTCTTCGGTACCTTAAAAAAGTTTCTTTAGAATTAAAAAAAAGGGCCAGGCGCGGTGGCTCAAGCCTGTAATCCCAGCACTTTGGGAGGCCAAGACGGGCACATCACGAGGTCAGGGGATTGAGACCACCCTGGCTAACACGGTGAAACCC